TTAGGCATCAGGCCCCAGCAACAGTCACACGATACCCTCTGCTATGGAACAAAAGCATGGCAAATTCATAAAGGTCAGTAGAAAAAAGACTACACACAAGGCCCCACAGGTCTGCGTATTTGCACAAGGGTATGAGCTACCCTTATCACCAACCTCACACAATCAGACTTGAACAGTATCAGCTAGACTGCCTCGGTCAGTCTGTGTATGAGGAGAAGTGTCTTGGCCTTTGGCCTGCATGCTGCTGAAAGCTCCACACCTCCAAATTGGTATTGGTTCATTGACATCTCAGAACACAAAGGATGGAAACACAAAAGGGTCTGCTATATAAACACGACCTCTGCAACAACTAGAATACCACTTTAAAACTGGACTGCTTGTGATATTACATTGTAGCATTTATTGTCCAGTGAAGGACTGACTAAACTATACAAATTAGTCTACCCCACAATGAAACACAGAGAGAGGAGAACTGCACCGATAGTGCTACACCGATTATTATGTGTCATGTGAATACAGTGTCATGTCATCACGTCAAAGGTAGCAAGTTTCGCATGGGAAGCCTTATATATATCAGGTGCAAATACCAATATCACTCACCAGCGCATAGAACATAATGTACTAGGTATGACTAAGAATACAGATCGTTATATCTTAAATTTCTTCCATACAGTTGCACATCAAGCTACTTGTAAAATTTTATGACCTCATTAACATGCATGGCTAATTAAGCTAAGCAACAATAATCTGCATAAACTCATTATATCAAGGGTAAAATAGTGAAGGTTTAGAAACTGCAGTGTTGCTTTATACTTACTGGCTTCCTATGATAATGTTTGCCAAGGCACTAGCATTTAAAATGCAGCTGCTTGGGTCAAAGGTTTCAAAAACAGCTGTTTGCATGGGCTTGTCCAAAGTATTTACCAGTTTATCAGGTAAAACATAAGGTATGGCAACTACTCCTACATTCTGTGACTGCATATCACATGGTTTGGAATCATATAGCGTATAGGTATTCTGAGAAGCAAAAAGGATGTCATCATCACAACACGGGAAATTATTATAATCTGAAGCTGACCAATGAGCAAGGAGATATCATGTGAGCTGAATGGAATATCTCTCAGCTGATGCAAAAAAAAATATTCCCCCAAAAAGAACATTGCATCTTTCAGGACGAAAAAAATACCACATTACGGTAGAGTATGCCTAGATGTTTGTTACAAATAAATGTCTACCTATACTGTAGAAGGGTTCTAGACAACGGAAAATTCCCACCGTGAAATTCACAGGTAAACAGAATTATTCTAAATCGAGCCGATTGCTTCACACAACCACGTCACATACTGGAAATCCAGATCATGCAGTTATAGACAATTTCTCTTAACCTACAGAAGTCCAGAAAGGGATATACAACTCAGAGTGTCTATAAGACTATATGTTAAGAAAAATTTGACAAAAACACCAATGACTTGGTGGGAAATCAAAGGNTAAAACGCAGCTGAGAGGAGACTCGCATTCGATCTGCCGCGCCATATTTCTTCAAGCCGATGACTGCCTGACAATTTTTTCTCCATACTCACATCTCAACGGCGTTTAGGCAAAGGCTGTCGTTCAGAAGACCTCGAGGAACAATCTGCCCCGCACAGTCAGCACAGTTTCGATTCAGCTAATGCTGTAAAGTGGTCAGAATTTAGCCGTTTCTAGCAGACAGTCAGCCGCACGACCCTTCCGGAACTGCTGTGTTCTTCTATGCTGCCAGGGCGGACAATAACAAACCCTGACGTCACGGCCATGCAAATTAGTCCCCACCACGTGCTTTTTGCGCGCGGAAATAAACATTGCGGAGGCTGGGGTACTGGTCATAATATGAGTCTTATGACTGGGAAAATAACCAACCTAGTAGTGAGAAATAAAGCATCACTGGCAAGTAAACATTAAGTTGATATCGACCCCATAATTTTAACAAAAGTCGAATGGTCTCGCAATAGAAACCATAAAATGATGTCATACTTGTTCTCTTTTGCTTCTCAGAAAATGATGACTCACAGTGCAGCCTGTTTTGTGGAGACTGTTACTTCAAGACATTTGTAACAGATTTGCGCTTTGTCTCTGTGACATTTAATTGTCAGAAAGTCAGTATGAGATACCAAGAACATTCACATAATCACGTCCTTGAATATGCCATATGTCAACACTTGTCAACAAATATCAAGTAACAAAAAGGACATTTGGGGGAAGACCGTGGGACATTTTGGGTCTGTTTATGAAAAAATATCCGGAAGGGTGATCATACGTGACGTCTGCTTTAATATCTCCGAAATCTATCGTCGTCGGTTTATCATAGCCTCTACCAGGCACCGCGGATCGCTGAAAAAATAGTAGAAATTGGCCGAAATAAAGGGATAGTATACCCAAGGAGGTATTTAACCTCCTTGGTATACCAGAGAAGATCCAGGGCCATAGAAGCTCCAATTTGCGACCCACGATCCGCGGTGCCTGGTAGAGGCTAGGTTTATCACGTTGTTGGTCGACTCGAAAGGCAGGAAATAGCAATATATGATAATGGTCGACTGCACATCCATTAGTCTTATACTAGCCAGTAGCCTAATAATGTCCTTGGTTTACTCAACTTACACAACTTCACCTCCCTTCATGTAACGTTAGTACGATCCAGGATTGTCACATCCTATTCTAGATCTAACGTTACAGTCTAACCTTTTGACTAATTCTTCTGACTCAAGAAGGAGATTCTGTGGACTTGACTGCTTTTATTCGCTCCTTTTTCACTGGGCAGACAGTCGTCTGTCACTGTTTGCACTTAAGGCCTTGTACACTGCAGTTATCATACTTGTTAACCCTTGTCAATGCCTTGTTCTCTCATGAGACCAAACAAAGGCAATTGAGATTACTGGTGTGCACCATGTTTCGTTGGCTTGTTTGACATGTCATGCGCAACCTATAAAAGAATAACAAGTTATTTAATTACTTCACGCGAAGTATGCAAAGCTTCACCTTCCTTCGTGTAAAGTTAGATTACGATCCAGGATTGTCACATTCTATTCTTACGTTTGACCAAGGACATTCTACTTGGTTTGACGCACCTAACAAAGTGCGCATTCAATTCATATAACTGTGCTGACAATACGACTTTGTCTGAAAAAAGTTATGAGGCACTCATCAAAATGTTATGGGAGCTTTCTACGCAGACTGTCGACCAGAAAAACAACCCAAATTCCAACCGTCAAGTAACTCAAGGCTAACAACTGTTTCAAGGCTGGAACTTGTACGCCCCAAACGCAGCCATTGGAGTTATGCGCGCTAATTCGACGTGCCCAGCCGTGACAGACACCAGGATGAAAGCTCCTTGCAGACACAGACTAGTCTATTTGTTTTACCGTCGTTGGTTTTACCGAGGATATAACATTATACTGTCCTTGGTTTTACGTTACCTGGAACCTGTGACCCTTAACTAATGAAGAATCATGGCATAGAACAATAGAAAGGGCCAGGGCCGTGGGCAAGAGGGGTGGTAGGCTGGTTTGTTCGTTCGTTGAAAATAAATGGCGTCATGTGATTATATGTATGATCACTTCTTTTTTCGCCGATCTCGTTTCCTCCAAAACATAGCCTGAGGACATGGCTTGATCCCTTGCGTCGTGATTATACAGTCACAGTCCGGTCACCAGCTGTCATATCTGTGCTGTGTCGGAAGCCAAGTCTAAAACCTCCTTGTTTGCGACCACCGTCCTCTGGGACCATCTGCCGAGGCCCGAAGTTTTCCGAGGAATTCCGAAAGTTCGCGATTCTCAGCAGGCAGAGAAGTGTCCCGCCGCGGTGTGTCAACATGGAGGAGGCAGACAGTGATGTTTGTGGAGGTAACTAGAACAGCTTTACTACGTCAGACTTTGGTGTTATTCTTGGTTTTACAGCTGTCCAGAGTTGCGATGCTAAGCATGTGTTTGTTTCGAGGCTGGGGGAGCGGTGAGACGACCAAAATGTCAAAATTTACACGTGCAAGAAACTTTCCAAAAATGGCGGCCACATGTGAGATGTGAGGGCGGGACCGCTGGTGCAACAACTCCATGCTGTCAAACAGCGTCATCTCACCTGTTTAGTGTCTGTTGTTTGTGTTTTGACAATGTCAGTGTGTAAGTCTGTCATAACGTTATGTCTGCTGCCACTTTTACCTCCTCTGTTCAACTAGTCTAACGCCATGCAAAATTTTAGTTGAAAACACAGCGCGCTGAGTGACACATAGTTTTCCCCTGGGGCTAAGCCTTTTGACATGTAGATTTCTAGACTCGATTGGAAACTCGCCTTTCACTTGTAAACAAAGCAACAAGGTCATGTAAATTATATTTCTTTTAAATACCGCTGTGAGTAATTTGAAATGCTGTTGTACATGTGTAGGCAATCTTGAGCCTTGGAATATGGATCCAGAAAATTACTTGGCCGATGACCTCACGTACGTGGGGCAGCCACTAGCCGTGGCGACTCTTGACTCGGGCTTACATTGCATTACCCTCTGCAGAGGGTAATGCAATGTAAGCCCGAGTCAAGAGTCGCCACGGCTAGGGCAGCCACATACTTTGTACACAGATGTTATGCTCTACCAGTTTTTCCGAGTGGTTTTTCCACTATTGTAAAACAAGGACAGACATGTTATATCACCTCCCAGTCAGAAGATTTGGAGAAATAGTGCTGAAAGGAAGCCAACTGCATGGTATTTACAGCATTCCTCACCGCATGCACACAACTGCCTGATCACTGGACTATTTATTTATTTATTTAGATGTAACAATAACTTTACCACATTAAACAGGTTTATGCAAGGGCTTCTACGTCCTTGGTTTATGCAAAGCATATGTAAACTTCTCAGAAGGCCACAGGACTATTTGTTGTCGTTTTTTTTTTTTACCAGACTTATTGTCCAGTTAGTAGGTCTGTGTATAATGTCCTTGGTAGGACACAAACATGCTCCCAGGGTGAAAGAAAATGTTCTGTCGATACAAATGCACCGAGTGTAATAGTTTTATCTGAGCCAAAAATTTTACCTTTCATACATGTAACCATGGAGGTAGACCTCCATGATGTAACATTACGTGCTTGGCAGTGGGATAAGAAATACTAGTAGATGGCATTGTAGGTATTTACATTACAATGTTCCACAACAGTGCATCTTAATCAATGTTTGTTCTGTGCCTTTTATTTTTGTCCACCAGAATGATTGCAGCATTGCATATAACTACATGTACTAGTAAATTAGTAGTTATACTTCAGACCTCCCTCCAACAGTGTTGGGGTAAAAAACATGTAATGAGAGCTGTATTTTTATTTTCATTTGTCAGAATAGCCCCATTTTCCACACGCAACTGAAATAACATATAAATTATGATGCCTATTGTATGGCAGTGTAATGGCACCTATTGTTTGTGCCAAAATAGCCATTACATATTTTTTATTACCTATGAGCATATTGAGCTACCACAGAAAGCTTAGAAGGTACCGCAATAGACTTTTTGCAATGCAGTAAGCACAAGAAGTGGGGTAGAATCTTGTATGCTGACCAGCTGATGCTGACTCTACTATTCTTGGTCAGAAACAAACATAATCTGCTGCACCAAGGGTAGTGTTTTCCTCATTTTTTTTTATTCAAAGCTCACAACAGAACACTGAGAGGATAAATACAATGTTCGGCCACAACACTTCCTGCTACTACTAGTGCTAGTGTGTGTCTATGGCAGAACTATTCTATGATAGTTGTGTGATAGGTAATATAAATTACTCAGTCTCAGTATTCAGACTTTTTCTTTTGATGTGAACATAGCTTACTAGTATCATTTTTTTCCCATGCCTTTCAAGATCCCATAATGGCAACGATGCTGAAACATCTCCAAACAATGGAGGCCTCTGGGTCCCAATCCAAGGAAGTTTGCAAGTTTAGCATGATGATCGACAGTTTACTTGAGAGTGAGTACAAATTTACATACATCAGTGTCTATTATCTAAGTATGACTATTAAAGAGCAAATTTATAAGAGATGCAGTAAGCATAACACTTGGTTTGCCATAAATTTATGTAAAGAAAATAATGCATAAAACACTTTTTCAGTATGCATGTTATTGTTGTTAATTGGCATTTCGTAATCTACCTGAATCATGAGCAGTAAACATTGTAATGTAATTTGAACATTTTTTGTACCTCCACACTGCTAGTATTACCCTTGCTTTTTTTAAATATGACTCAAGAATTTGTTTCAACCAACAGCAAACATAAAGCTGAAGACAAAGAACAAGGAGCTCCAAGAAAGGAATAAGGAGCTTCTGGGAAGGAATGAAAAGCTTCAGGCAGAGAATGAGCAGCTCAAGAAGAACCCTGGGAAATGTAGAACAACTGGAAGTTCTCCAGTAGAAGAAGAGGTACAGCAAAATAGAAATATTGCAAGAAGAAAACATTTCAAGCTTCTAATCGCTTTCATTGTTAATTGTTTGTACATTTCAAAAGTAAGCCACGATTGTAAACAGGTAGTAATTTCAGAAATATGTTTACAGGAATGGGATAAGTCAGAAGATGAAGGATCTGAAAGGAAAGGAATAGAGTCTGCTGTAGTACCATGCACCTCGTCTGCTGTAGAGGAGCCCGACACACAGCCAGCTGAGTTGTGTGAAACTGGTGCACAGTTGCAGGAAGGTAAAACATCCTAAAGCAGTTCAGCTGTGTTGGCTGCAGTATTCATCTACAACTACAAAGTGCCTTTTAGATGCCTTTTATTTGTGGAGGAAGCACTCATCAGTTTGCTTTTTGTTACCTTCGCCAAGAAGGTTATGTTTTCAGGGGCGTTCGTGTATGTGTGTGTGTGTGTGTGTGTCTGTCTGTCTGTCTGTCTGTAAACACGATAACTTGAGAAGGCCTTGATGGATTGTCTTGATACTTGGTAGATGGGTAGGTCTTGATGAGACCTCAAAATGATTAGATTTTGGGCCCCCTAGCGGCTTGTTATGGTACTGCAGCTGAACTTCCGGTTTTGATATCTCGTGATCTAGACATGCTGGGTCGATGAAATTTGGATGGTAGGTAGCTCTTGTGCTGGGGAAGAAGTGACGTGAGTTTGGGCCCCCTAGCGGCTTGCTCTGGAACTGCAGGGATATATTCTTGAAAATATTCAAAATGGGATAACTCAAGAACCAGTTGACGGATCGTCGTGATTTTTGGTATGTAGGTAGCTTACGCGATGTTTAATATAATTATGTGACAATTATGCAAATATGGATGTAATTTGCATAATTTATGGGGAAATTCTATAAATCAGCTGCATTCCATGATAGGACAATTGAAGCTTGTGACATTGGTAATTGACAACGAGAGAAACACAGGAAGATATTGATTATGTTGATAATGACTTAATTTGCATAATTAATGAGAAAATTTTATAATTATGTAATGATAACTGCCTGGAATTTCATACTTGTGATATTTGAAAGTTTAGTTGAGGTGAACATCATTAAACATAATTTATTCAAATCAGGACCTCATTTGCATAATTTATTAGGAAATGGTAGAATGCATTGTTTGTTAATATAAGACTGTCTTTTGGTTGAGATTATGATAAAATGATATAATTCATGAAAATTAGGTTCCTTTTTCTTAAATCAGGGGGGAATAATCTAATCTATAATTTGTCAGTCATAAAGATTAACATCATTTGGCGAAGGTATGAGATCGGGGAACTCTAGTTAAATATGTTTCATTTGTGTTAAAAAAATGTCAGATTACTTTTGTTTGTAGAGGCCAGGCATTTAAAGTCTTGACATTTTGTGAATCCTGTTTGTGTAATCAAAAGTGTTGCTCACTCTGGAAAATATGTAGAAAAGTTGTAAGGTTAGAAGACTCATCATAAGAACATTAAATTTGTTATGCTGAAGTCTTATTCTCATGTTTTGGTAGTTTGTACAATACAGTTGAAACTTCTCTGATTTGCAGATCTGCCTCATGAAGACATGACGCAGCGTGATGGAGCCATACAGGCTGTTCCAGGTTCTCCTCCAGGCGACCCCCAGCAAGCTCAGGTATGTGAAGATGATGCCACCTCCGGTGAAGTGCAGGAAGGGGATAAGGTGGATAAACAGCCTACAACGGATAGCTGCAGCGAAGACCATGACTATAACATAGAAGGACAGTCATCAGAAACTCCGCACAATTCTCGGACGATGCCAAACAATGAAAATAATGATACAAACTGTCAAGGTAACTCAAATTTGACCAAAGACAGGTCAACATGTGATTCCATTGAACCAGGAACAACAGAAAGGTCTGCTTTTCAGGTTGTATACGACATGATGAGAGAGTTGAGTATGCAGGCTGTGAGTGGAATGTCACAAGGCACAGGTGGGCTCAGTGACAGCAAGAACCTAAGTGTGGACGATAGTGGGGGAACAGGAGACTCTGCCAAACCGGTGAGAGACAATGTGGTTATTGTTACCAACACAACAGGAAGCATGTCAGCCATGGAGGACAGTCGTGGCAGAAGTAATGAGGTGGAGAATGACACAAATGGTTGCAGAAGGTCTACATCAAGAAGTAGCAGTACAGACAGGAACACTGCATCCCCTGCCCTGCTGCAGGAAGTAACCCCAGTACAGGAAGAGTATGCAGATGCTATTAGAGAGTTGTCTCCGATTTCAAACCACCAACCAATAGTCAAGCTACCACAAAGTGGCTGCCATTCCACCCCTGAACTGTCAGATGACACTGTGCTTTACAGTCCAGAAACAGTTGTAGATCTCACAGAGGAGAATAAACCTGAGCATCCTCCCAAGCCTCGGAGATTAAACAGGAGGAGGAGGAAAACTAGGAGAAGGGGTAGGAAACCTGCAATGAAAGAAATGAGTATTACCAACGGCAGCATGTCTTCAAAGGAGGTGATACAATATTTGCAAACGTATCGTGCAGAAGAAAACAGAGATTGCTCTGGGGAGAGTCCAACGGAGAGAGGAGGTGGCAGTCCTCTTGGTATCATTGATACAGAAAGTGCATTGAGAGCTGTGATGGTCATTTCAGACTCATGTATCTCAGGAGGGACTACCGACAGTCAGGCAGAGAACAAAGGAACAGGTCCTGTGGAAGAGTTGGTTCAAAACGCAGCAACATCTGTGGTGATTAACAGCCAGGAGGATATGCAACATTCTGAGCAAGAAGATGTGGAAACAAGTGATGTCTGCCAAGCTTCTGATGCTACACACATGGAAATACCTGTATTACCTGT